TCTTTATATGAAAAGAGGAGGGAGAAGCATTTAATTTCATTGTACAATGATAATAAAGTTATTCTATTCTATGCAGTCTGGTGCTGTAGGACTCTTCTTTTAAATTTTGACTGAAGGCTCATATGCCAACATACTATATAAAGAAGGCAGTAATTCCTTGCAAGCAGCATCTTTGATAGCCTGGACACAGTTCAGGAAATAACTTTCAACACATAACTTACTGTCATTTCAAGATCCAAATGTTACAAATATTCAAAGTTTTTTTAAAAAACAATCCTACTTTCTTTTTATTTAAAATTAACTATACATTACTAAGTTACTTTTTAAAAAAGGGTCAGAATCCCATACGTTACTGGTCTGTGACACAAAACTTACCTTGGTACTGAGGCTACAACCATATGGTAACTTCAAAAGTACTATATGTTACAATTAGGATGTAAAAGGAGTGAAGTTATATTTCTTACCATACACTTGTAAAGTTACACAGTTATGCTGTGGATATCACAAACACTTATAAGAAACAAGTGATTTGTTGTTGGCAATTAGTTGCTTTCAAATTCTGCACCAGAGGCAAAATGCTCCTGACCACAGAAGCTCTGTTTTTAGGGCAAATGGCCCATCCTCTTCCCTCCTATCCATCATCTTTCAGCTGCAGCTACAATGAAGTAGAAATCTGTTTGTGGGCACAGCTTTCTTATTAGAACTGACACTTTTCAAACTGGACAACCAGAAAATGGATATTCCATGTTAGTCAGAATAAGTTCATTGACTTATAAGAATAGGTCATCTGTGATATGGAACCATGGATATAAATATTACTTACACACACAAAAATGAGCAGGACAAATGACGAAAACACTATTTGGCCTAAGCAGTATTCATTGGAATGCTGCAGTTGTGCATTTTAATCTATACATAGCACACAGGTCAGATTATTAATTATCTATTTTTCTCCATACAAGCCTGAATACACTCAATGCACTAGATCCTGTCTGATTTTTGTTAAGCTAAGCCGGCTCAGCCCTTGTTAGTTACTTGATGGGAGACTACCAATTAATACTAGGTGCCAGAGGAAGAAACTGGCAAAACCTAAGATATTCATGGGGACAGCATAGTTGGCAGGCAAATTGAGGGTGTGTGCACACATAGTTTCCTCTGCCTGATAATGTCTCTTCAGGGTCTGAGGCAGAGAGAGAGAAGTGTTGCCCATCCCACCTACCTGGCCCTTTTAAATTAGAGTCATAATGAACTGAATCCTGGAGCTTCTGCATACAAAAATGATCTACTGTCCCTGCTTCATTGTCTTCAAATTCAATATCTCACTACAGTGCAGACTCTCTTTTGTGTGAAACACATTACCATTCATTTCCAAGATAACGCTTTCTCCAAAATGAACAAAATTGCCTTCCTCAATCTGAAAGCTTTGAACTTTCATCAGCCTCAGCCTACACAGTTAATGGCAACAGAAGGATGGGTGTTGGAGTCTAAAACATCTGGATGACACCAATTTGAAGAATACTGCCTGGGAGACACAAATGTAACCCATTATAACAGCTTTCATGTTTCTCCCAATGTCCAAGTCTGTCATTGTTTGGGGTGCTTTTCAAATTTTCCAAATGGATCAAATAATTCCTAGTGTAAGTGCATCAGTGTGTGCAACACACACCCACACAACTTGCATTGCCCAACTCTAGATCTAAGCTGTCTTGTGCTATCGGCTCAATATTGTTTTACTGTACCTATTATTCTCCTTGATTAAAGAGTTATTTAACACATGACAAATTTGCAGGCATCCTAAATTAAATGTGGTGTAACAGTGCACATGAAAATACAGTATAGGGCTGCAACAAACAAGAACGGTTCAACTCCTGTGTTAGAGAGAAAAACTGAATTGACAGAAATTCTCTGTGAAGTGCATGCATACCTATTTTTGGAGCTGTAAAACAGCCTCCATACAGAAGCGCTGCTTCTAATCCCAGTGTTCATGATCCTTTTTTATCTGATGATACTTGAGATCAGACTTACAAGGCATGTACTGTACTACTGAGCAAGGGACACACAGATGAAGCAGCATCCATGCTGAAGCAGAATATAGCTGAGTCAGATTAATACCCAGCTAGCAGAATGTCTGGGAGCACAGGACATTCCTTCTAAAGTTTTGCATTGGGGGAAAGGTGAGAAATTGTAAGTAGGACTTCAGAGAATGATTTTTAAGCTTTTTAAAGACCTGCTTCTGTTTCCTTGACTTGGACCAACACAGCTGCCTACAGTTTTGGATTCACCTTTGGGTTTTGGCCACAGGGATTTTGTCACCATTAGTTCCCTCACTTTACAATGCACCCACACAAGTATTTGTTTAAGTTCTGCTACTTTCCTTGAGCGGGAGCATCTCCAGCAAGAGATACACACCTTAAGGCTGTTAGGACCGAATACAGGACTCAGGCCCAAGTAGCAAGTGGGGAGAGGGGAAGCTGGGGAAGAAGGATAAATGTAGATTTCCCAGGCCATTGGGACCCAGTTAAATTAGCCTGACGGTCCAATTAAGCAAGCACTGTACTTCCCATAGCACTCAATCTGATACAATCATCTCTCCTTAATATCTGTCACAGGATCTGGTATTAAGAGATCAACTACACCTGAACCTGGAAGTTTCATTAAGTTATTGTGACTCATTTGCTGCTTTTTGGAAAGCAGTAATCTAGGTCAGTCAAATTGGTTTTGCTGCCTGAAGTAAAGGATGAGAAGGCATCCCTTTCCATTCCATGTACAGTAGTAGATTGCACTGGCTACTGATCTGTTCCTCAGTCCTTCCAGTAGGAAAAAGACTGGCTCTAGACCTGCATGCTGCAAATCAGTTTGTTTGTTTTTTTTGGGGGGGGGGGGTTATATGGTGTGGGCTATGTAGTACATACAGGTCTGATCTTCAAGAGAAGGAAATAGTTTGAGGGTGCAGATGGAACCAATGGGAGGCTATTACTACTGCCCCACAACATTGGCTACCTGAGGCAGTTGTGTCACTGCCAATTGTCACCAAAACTGAACTGGAAGCGTTTAGTATGTCTGAGTAATAGTGAGCTGACATGTTTACTAAGGTGGAAATAGACCTCTTAATACACAGGAGGTGCTAGAGGAGAATGAACAATTAACCAAGCATTCAAGGCCATGTGTGGACCACTGACTTTCTCCCCAGAACCTCTTTTTAACCCAGCTACAAATAGACAGGTGTATTTTCAGAGTTGTGGCCCTCCAGATATGTGGCTGCAACTCCCATCAGTCCCGGCCATCACAACCAATTACAAAGGAAGTGTTGGCTCTGGACCAACAACATCTGGAGGGCCACACTTTCCACATCCCTGAAGCAGATTTGTGTGAGGTGTGGGATCTCACCAGTCCAGGGCACGGTGTGAGAGGAAGCTGCATTTGGCTGAATGAACCCTTCTCTACAGCTCTTTTGGAAACAAGGCCTAGTAAACTCCAGATGCTTTGCAAAAGCAGGGCAGACATTAGGAACAGCCCTGTCATTTGAGATCAGCATCAAAGGAGCTGTGCCAAGGACCCAACTTTTACAGTGTGCCACATTTCACACTCAAACTCTCTCACACATCCTTAGTTTCTTCTTCCTCTCTCACTCTCTCCCCCACCCCCCTTTGCCAGTATGCCTGTCTCATGTGAGCTTGCAAATAATGTAAAGAGTTTAAATATGAACAGAAGAGCTCTGGTGGTTCAGACAGTCCAAACTTTTATTCCCGGAGGGACCAACCAGATGCCTCAGGAAAGCCCACACACACAGTGTGGGTGCAACAACACCTCTATCCTCTATGAATTTAGGCTTTTAAAATCAGGGGCCACTTTGTCCCCTGAATGGGATGGGTAGAAAGTAACTTCCCCAAGACTAGAGGGGTTGTCTCCCCACAATGACCTGCCACAGTTGGGCCACCAAGACTCCTTTATAATTGAACTTCCTTGGGTGTTTTTTATCATTGTGGTACTCAATGGTCAGCACTAAGAAACATGAAGGCAAGGACTGCCTCTGAGTACCCCACCCACCAGGAATAACAGAGGCTGCCTGCAGTCTCCCCTTTGCCCACTTACTCTGGAGAGAGCATCACTGGACTAATGGAGGGGAGTTCTGGGCACATGCTGGGTTTTCAGAGTCATTATACTTAAGGGGTTTTCAAGGATAATGGGTGGGGAACAATGAATTTGACTTTCCTCTTGCTGGCAGGCAAAAGTAATAATGCCCCCCCCCTCCACACACACACACACACACACACACACTGAGACACATACATAAACAGAGCCATTTGGAGCTCTTGCCTTAGAAACCATCCCACCCCACCCCCACCCCCGCTTTGGCTGGGCAAGATCTGGTGCCAATCCCGAGCAGAGGAACCTGTCATCAAGGCCACCTGCCCAAAGGCGCCAAGAGGGCACTACAGGATTGGTCAGGACGAGTGGGCTGGGCTTTGGGCCTCTTTGGGCGACTTTAGGCAAAGTTTGTGAATCCCTGAGGAAAGCACTGGGCAGCTGGGGAACAGGGAGAAGAACGCTCCACTATGTCCGAGAGTTTACCAGAGAGCACCTTCTCCGCTGCTGCCCGGGTGCTGGGCTGCCATTCCACCCTCCCGGCAATCCCCTGGGCAGGGCAAGACAGGGCAGAAGGGCCCGAAGGGGGCAGGACGGGCCAGAGGGACAAGTCTCCTCCAGCTCAAAGTGGGGCATGGGGCTTCTTGCATGCGGAACACGGAGCCTTGCCAGCCCCCTCCCAGTCCCCCCAGCTGGTGTTTCCCTCCCTTGGGTGTTTTGGAATGGGCAGGGCGGGGGAGACCCCGGTTTCCCTCCCTGGGCTTGGGGCGCCAGGCGGGCCATCAGCTCCCTCCCCTCCCCGCGCGGAGAAAGAGGCCAAGTCCGCTCCCTCCTCTCCCACAGACGTCGCCCGCCTCCCCCTCCCCGCGCGTTCCCCAGCATCCTGCTCAGGCCTCTCTCCCCACGCGGCTTACCTCCAAGGTGCGGATCTCCTTCTGCGTGAGGTCGTTGGACGTGGCGCATTTGGTGCGCAGCCCCTCCAGGTTGGAGATGCTGATGTCGATCATGTTTTGGACCAGCTCGCACTGCTGCAGCGCTTTCTGCAGGCTCAGCGGCGGCGGCGGCTCCTGCTGCTGCTCCTGCTGCTGCTCCTGCTGCTCCTGCTGCTCCGGCTGCTCCTGCCGCTCCGGCTGCTCCGGCTGCTGCTCGGCCGGGGCGGCCGCCTCGTCCATCGCTGGCACCTCGGCCGCCCCTGCCACCCCTGCCTCCCCCTCCTCCCGGACCAGGCGGAAGAAGAAGAACCGGACGCCGCCGCCGTTGAAGCCTCCTTCCGCCCAGGCGAGGCTGACGGGCAGCTCAGAGGCGGCGGCGGCGACGCGGCTCCCCCCTCCCGGCAGCCCCCACCGCGCCAGACCGGCCCGCAGCAGCCGCCTCGCCTCCTCCCCGCCGCCGCGCGCCCAACGCGGAGAGCCCCCCGGCGACGCCGTCTTCCCGCTGAGGCGGCTGCCTCCTCCTTCTCCTCCTCCTCCTCCTCCTCCACCTGCCGCCACCGCCTCCTTCTCCTCCTCCGCTCCCTGCTTCCCTCCTCCCGCGCTTCCCGGGGACGGGCCGGGGACGAGCTGGGGAATGGGGCTGGGGTTGGGGCCGGGGCGGGGCGCCGCGAAGCCCTGGGGAGCCCCGGGATGCGCGGCGCCTCCGACGGGGAAGCGGGCAGGAAGGGGAGGCAGGCAGGCAGGCTCGCTCGCTCGCTCGCTCCTTCTCTCCCGTTGCCGCTCCCGCTCCTTCTCTTCCTGCCCGCGCCGGGCTTTGTCAATCAAGGAGGAGGAGCCGCCCGCAGGCAGAGCTGCCGGGCAGGGAAGCCACTCGGGAGTCCCCCTCGCCTCGCCCGTCCCAAGCCCCAAGCCAGACTTCTCCGGCCAGTCCTCCCTCCACCCAGCGCCCCGCCGGTTCCTTTCCTTCAACCAACCCGAGTCTCACCTAGGCAAGGGAGAGGAGGGCAAGGAGGCGCTTCTTTCTCTGGCCCCGCTTCGCGTCCGCGGGACCCGTCCCGTCGGGTCCCGCGCGCGGGAAAAGGCGCCCGCCCGCCCGGCTCGCTTTCTCCCCTGGCTCTTCCTCCTCTGGCTCTTCTTCCTCGGCTCTGTGCTCAAGTGCTGGAAAAGAATCGCTCCGAGCGAGCGAGAAAGCAAGCAAGCAAGCAAGCAAACCCCCCGGCGACCCTCCGGGTCAACCTTCCAAAAGCCCGGCCGACAAAGCTCAAAGCGGCGTGGAGAAGCGTCCTTCTCCGCTCCGCTTTGCTCGGGCGGGACAGAGTGTCTCGCAGTCTTCCTCACAGCCGCCGCGACTGCCCTTTATAGCCCCCGGGGGCGCTCAGGGGAGGGGGCATCCGGATGGGTCGCTTCTGCCGAGCGACGGCCCCTCCCCTCAGTTACCTAAGAAAGTTGGCCTGGAGACGGACGGACGGGCGGGCGGGAGAGAGAGCGAGAGACCCCTCCCCTCTCCCCCTCCCCTCCCTCCCTCCCTCCTTGCCTCGCTCGCCAAGGTAAGGCAGGCTGTCTGTCTCGGCTCCTGGCAGACCAAGTCCGCAGGCTCGGCGGCGAAGCCAAGACCAGAGTCTCCCCGGAGCCGGAGCGGCACCCCAGGCCAGACCCCCCGAACCAGCGGGAGCCCTCCAGATGTCGCAGGCTACAACTCCTTCTGCCCTTTGCTGGCTGCAGGGTCCTGTAGACCCAATTAGACCCATCCGTCCCGTGGCTGAATGAGGCATCTGCTCCCGATGGCCCAGAGTCGGGAGAGGACCCCCACCCCTGCCTTCCCCGTGGGCCATCCCGCCCAAGCCCATTCTGCCAGGCAGGAAGACATAGCCCAAACCCTTCCAACGGAATAGAACCAAGCAGCCTTAGACCAGGCATCCGCAGACTTCAGTCATCCCTCCAGGTTTTGGGGTTTTTCCCCCCTTTCGTTTTCTGCTTAAGCGGCTGAGGGGAAAAAGAAGGGAGGGGAGTGAGGCTATTAGGGCTTGTGGGAGTTGGAGTCCAAAACACCTGGAGGGAGGACCCAAGTTTGCCAATGCCTGCCTTAGACTCACGGAACCATGGAGCTGGAAGAGGCCCTGAGGGCCATCCAGTCTAACCCCATTCTGCCAGGCAGAGAAAGCACAATCAAAGCACTCTTGACAGATAGCCACCCAGCCTCTGCTTCAAAACCTCCAGAGAAGGGGACTCCATCACACTCCAAGGTGTGTGATTTACCCAATTGGGTCAATCCAACTGATTCATTGGCTTTACTCTGAGTGAGATGAACAATAAGATTTAAACAATAAAAGGTTTCAATTGTATTGCTTGATTTGCCTCACCACTAGCTCTGATGGCAAAGGCTGATGAGTACAGCTATCCAGAAAGATCCACTGGCTCCCACTGTCTCTATCCTGAGAATGGGTGCGCTTGGAGAGTGGCCAACCCCCTCACACTTTGGGAAAGGGCTTCCTGCTCAAAGGGCAACAACTTTGAAAAAAGGGAGGGGAGGACTGGTTCTTCTTGTGTACCTACCTATCTATCTGTGCAGTCCAGTCCTACACACACTCCCTGAGAAGAAGTCACCCTCAAGGGGACAGATGAGATGCCCAACACACAGGCCGATCCTTGGCAGTGTTACTGGTGTTTTACATTTGGAGTTTTATTTTCTTCCTGTGTTTCCCTTTATATTTGGAGGGTTGTGTTGATTTGTTTGCCATAAAATGATTTCTATTGCTGGGATACACAACATTTTTATTGCTGGCTTGCTCCTTTTTTCTGAGTGGGGAGACAGACTTCTCATTTCCTCTTGCCCAACATGGAAATAGCAATCTGTATGATTGTTACCAGGGGTGGGGTGAAGAAAATTCTTTTCAGGAAAGTTACATATAAGTGACTATTTACGATCCACAGATTGTGCATCTCTGATCTATTTTAAAAGCCTAAGGTCCACTTAACTCTGCACAACACTGAACCAATGTCTGGATGCTGGGTTGTAGTTATTTCTGGGTATTGGGGAAGGGGTTGAGGTTGCCCTGACCACATTAATTGCAGTAGCAGAGAGCATTAAGGACATTATGGCTCCAGGTGTAAAAAGCATTTATATTCCTAAAGTAAGAAGTAATTTTTTGTTACATTGACCCCCCCCCCCTCCCGGGCCAAATTGGAGTGAAATGGGTTTTTGCCATCTTTCAACATTTCCAGAAACGTTCTATTTCTAATTCAGAATATGTTGAAAGAAAAGCAAGCATCCTTCAAACTGCCCTGAAGTAGATCTCAGACCTTTTGAAGCCTCATGAAAAATGGGGCAGGGGACAATCTTGTTTGGCAAGACAGGGAAGGCATCAGAAGGAAGGCTTCATTGGTTGGAGACCCAGGAGAAAGGTACTCCCAGACCAATGGTAACTATGTTCCTAATCAGGAAAAAAGAACACGTACACAAAAATATTGGCAGCTACCATTAAAAAAAAAAAAAGTAAAAGCAATTTGTCAAAAAAGTAATTTACCTAGCAATAGTAGCAAGTTGTGAAGCTTTGTATTTCCCAAACCAATGTTTCATTTTTGTTTGACCCAAATAGGCCACGTTGAAAGCCAAGAAAACTGAGTGGCTTGATTAATGTGGTGGCCAATATACACTAATAGTGCCCAGGCTAAGCCTATGGGGAAAGGGAAGACTTGTCTTCTTTGGTCACCAGAATGGAAACTAAGTGGGCTGGTAGAGGAGGACTGAAAAGAGATGCTCTTTGTCCCTTAGGCAACTTGCTTATTAATATAAAATTCCATCCTCTTGCCTCCTTGGCATTCCTTGTCATCTGTTTTAACCAGTTGTTGTGATATATCATGTCTCTGTTGTAGAGGTTCCTTGGTCATATTTCTTCAAAGGGGGTTTGCCACCTTGACCTTCCTCAGACTAAAAGACTGTGACTCACTCAGATCATCCACTGGGTTGGCATGGGTGAGTAGAGATTGCAACTGGTCTCCCAGAGTCCTAGCTTAATGCTCAAGCCATCACGCTGGTTCTCAGATACCTGATAGTTGTCTCCAAATATCTCTTCAAGGGTTCATCAAACTAAAATACCCAAGCTGGAGATGTAGTTAACCTGACAGTAAGCCCTGTGAAGGTTACTTCCACCTGTGTGGCTGAGTTACATATGAGGGCTTCAACCCTTTTTCACAGAAGTAAAACCTATTCTGTGTATTTGGCCAGAACTGTGAGTAAAAGCAAGCTGTGAAAAAGCCTTATCAAATAATGCTAATCAGGAAAGAAAAAATTCCATGCCCTCTAGGATTGTGTTAAGATCATGGTGATTTCCAGAAATGGATAAAGATTTTGATGCATGGAAAGAAGTATTGCTATCACTTGCCGAGCATGCTTCAGGAGAAGAGGCCTGGTGTGCAATCCTGACTACAAAAATCAGATCATGTAAGAGGGTTTTGTTTGTATTTTTTTGGTCTGCAATGCAGATAAAAACCAGGCCACAGTACAGTTTATAAAACATGAAAAGTGATACTTTTGCCCTCCTCTTGAGATATCACTTATCTACAATGAGGGTAGGTAAGCCTCTGACCTAATAATATTTAAGATTGTTACCCACATGTTATTCAATGTTATTCAATAACATAACAATGTTATGTTATTCCCCTTGGCCCTGGATCACAAGTTGAGATAATAGCAGTTTAGCCAGGGGGACATTTTCTAAAAATTAAGCAAAAAGGTGCCTGTTTGGCCAGAGATGTTCCAGACAAAAACATCAACAGGGTTGCATGTTCCCCATTCCTGACTCATATTTTCTAGCATTAACCCCCAAATTTGAAAAGACATTTTATGAGTGAGCCCTGGCTCATGAGAAGGCCGTCTGCTTTAGCTGCAATGGATGAGTTGAAGCAAGCAGAGTTTTGCTTCTACAGATCTTCAAAGGCGTTGGTTGCAGGAGACTTCCTCTGAATTTTAAATACTTCAGTATAATTAGAATTGGTTTGAGAAATCACTTTAAGTCTGCAGTTCTGTGCACTGAGCTTAGTGGAAAGTAAAGATGCATCAGACTAGAGATGTGCAAGAAACCTGTTAGAATATTTTAATGCAAACATACTTGTTTGTATTTTCTTAACTGAAAAGTAGTTACCTTCAGTATTTGTACTTTTCTAAATTTTCCTATACAATTCTTCATGGAAAATGTGTGCCAAATGTTTATATTGGGACACCATGTTCAAAAACACATTTTAGTGTAATTAACATGAAAATGGGTTTTGTTTAAAATGCCCATAGAGGAAAATCCCACTACTGAGTCAGCATGGAGAAGCTTCTTCAA